ACATGCCTCCAATCATGTTAAGAATAGAGGCACCAGCTATTTGACAAATAAGCATTACTGCAACTTCTACCTACTGGGTTTTTATTTATTCCTAAACCTCAATATGTTTTAGCTGAAAAGAAAACCTGTCCTGTGGCTAAATAATTATTGGCCTTTGCAGTGATTTATAATGTATTTGTATGTTCCCTGGACATTTTTCTGCTTTGATAGCATTGTTGAGATCAACAGTAAAGAGGATGACAACTTTCATTACCTCTGTGATTTTTTTCTTGCTGCTTAAAATGTGATTTCCCTGCACAGCAGATGAGCGCTAGATCATGTCTCACTGTACAGTTGAGAACTGGACCTGCAGGGATCATTCGTGTACATATATTTATGTATGCTTCTCACCTTGTGTATACGTACTGTATATGATTGCTACTGCAGTACATTAATCATGCAAACCAAGCTGTATGGTGATAATCTAGCAGTGAAGTTAGATATAAATTAGAATTGTATGTAAATTACGATCTGACCCGGACATGAATTCTATCCCCAAAGGATCTCCGGGATCTGCACCCCACATCTGTTTCTCCCAAAGTGAGATAATTGCTTGTTTTGGGATATTAGCTGTATGAGCACAGAGTTATAGAAAGCACCTGCTTTGCTTGTGGAATGCTTGCTCTCTGGGTTAATTTTTTTTTTAACATTCCTTTATGCTTTTAATTGATGTGATAGGTTGTTGGCAGGGTCTTTTAGGAAGTGTTGAGTGAAGCAGATGGGCTTCATGGTCAGAGCATCATCCCTAACTTTATTTCCTACTACATGGCCTCCTTTTTTCCCACCATTCTTTGCCAAAGGTTGTCTTTGTGCTGCGCAATGCACAAAGGAGAAGTCATACAGAAGTGATTTTAAAGTACCACGCACTGGGAACATGTGTCAGAAAAAATAAATGGGGGTTTCACAGGCTATTTAATCTGATCAGCCTTTCTATCAAAATCCTTCTTTGCCTTTTAAAACTAGCTGTGAACAAAAAGCTGTTTTTCTCAATGTCACCTTTTGCTCACTGTGTTAAGATGACTGAAGATTGTTTCCACATTATTTTTCCTCCTGACGAGATACTTTTCTAGAATTGAAATAAGGACTTGGTCAAGGCTCCTGAGTACAAAATGCTGCTCCTAAATGCTGTTTGAAATGTCATTTTACATTTCATACCATTTTTATTTGCAACAATAGAAATTCAGGTCCACTTAAAGAGAAAAAAATCAATTAATGCCACTTTCCATAAGTAACCCCACAACAACAGACTGGGCTATGCACAAACATGATGTGAGCTGTGCTCATGTCTGTTGTCTGCCTGTCAGTTTGGCTCTTGTGTGCTGGGAAAAGGGAGACTATTACAAGAATCCTGCTCTCTGTCATGTTTTATGCACTGGTAGCAAACAAGCAAGGAAATGAAGGCATCTATTCAAAGTCACTGAAGAAGAGCAATGATACGTATTGATCCGTGGAGAAAATACAATGATCAGATTTGTATTTCAAGGATTTAGGAGTGAAAGAAAAAAACTGTTTAAATATAATAAATACCTTTTTATTCAGACCTCTTAAGAAATCACATGACATGATAGTACAATATTTTAGTTCTGTATTATATACTTTGCATTGCTGTAGTGCTTTTCCACCGCCAATTTTAAGGTGTTTTTGAAGATTAATAAATTAATCCTTTCAATGATTCCGAGAGATTTTAGGAGTAGCTACAACTACCCAGAGAAGAGTACAGGTCTGAAAAGCGGTAGGACCCATATTTTCTAACAGTCCCAATAATTTGGGGTTCCTCTGCTCCTTGGTGCTGAGTCAGGAGGAGAAGAGAGCTTTGTAGAGAGCTTTGGATAAGTTGAGCAGGCACAGATCCCCATCAATATTAATAACAGCTGTAGGTGCTTGTTTAAGAGTAACTGTCATATGGTTTTAAAATCTGTACTTAATTGTTTTTCCTGTGTATTCAACTTTTATTTTAGCATACTAACTGATACTTGAAGTACTTGAATAGCTTGATGGGACTAAAAGAACTTCTTTCCCTTGTATACTAAGCAGGACAAGATTGGCAACAGGGGAAACACATACTGAGCACATTATGTTTCAGCTCTTCAGTGACAAGCTAAGTGTTTGATTTTTCTTCAGTAGCAACCCCCTCCATTATAGTGTATAATCATTTCTGAGGAAATCACACTAACCTAGGTAAAAGTGTGATGGATCAAAGTTGGAAATGTGGTACAGTTAGATCTCCAAAGGTCACAGCTGAAGTATGATGCTCCCGGTAAGTTCTTTAATACAAAGAACTGAAAAAAAATGATCATGGAAGTCATTTGCATAACGTATCTAGAGAAATACAGGGATATTAATCTCTCAGTGAATTACCTGGTTTTAAAATTTATAAATGCTTACAGATAGGAATCAAATGGATTAGTCAGGGCTTCAGTTCATAACAGAAGATGCCAGGGTGTTTAAATCTGTGTATTAAAAGCTGGTTGTGGGAATTGTTGCACCAGTGTTTTATAGGGGATGTTTTTATTTTAAAAATGCGGAAAAAAATTGAGTATTTTATCCTATGAAACAATCACTGTAATGTCAGACAAAGTGTGGAGCATGCATATTACTACACGATGATATACAATGAGAATACTGGTTAGCTTTGTCCTTAATTGGGTGTAAAGTTATAAATGATTGGTTTCTCATGCATCCTCATCTAGTCAATGTGTACGCTGCTACCTGCTCTTGCACTAGCTGGGTCATAGTTTTTGTTCCCTGATCTATTGTAAAGGATGAATTTCCTGTATATCTTGGAGTCATCATTTTAATGCCTTTGGTTATAGGAATTTGGCCAGGATGGAAATTTGGGGATATGTCAATAGGACAAAATGGGCTGCATGCGTATCAAGTGTTGCCTGATTATAAAGCAGGGCTTATTTATGGGGTGCAGGGAGCAGAGCAGTGGGAGAAATAGTGGTGATGTTACTGTAGGGTTTTAGGCTATGTCAACTTGTCTATCCTTCCTAAGGCCTTTGGATCTTTGCACTCCCTCTCCCTTGTTGGCTTATAGCTGAGACCTGATTTCCACAGGCCACATTCCGTTCCTCCTGGATTTGGTTGGCTCCATGTTACTAACCCAGTGGTGTAAGGGGGACCACAGCCTCCAGTGCCCACTTAGAAAGGGGCATGAAAACAGCAGCTACTGGTGCAAGCAGCGAATGTTGCCACCAGAGCACAGACCTGGTAATTTATGCTTCTGTACTAACCCCACTCTTACTCTTCTGGCAGAAGCGTATCCAAGGCAGGATTTCCAGAAGCACTCAGCTTTGTCCTCACTGTTTTTGTCTAAGTAATATCTTCACTGGCTTCAACAAGATGAGTTAGGCCAGCACCAACTGCTTCTGAGACTCCTACCTTAGTTTGTTCTATTTTTCTTCACTTACTCTTTGGTTTTATTTTGCTTGTGCAATATAAGCATTCAATATGTAATGATATAATTGATTACGTCAAGTTAAGATTGTGTTCAGAACATAATATACGTCATTTTAAATACTGATCTAAAAATAAACTTTTCCCTCGTATTGCTTTTGAAACATTTCAAGTGAACTACAGAGGATTTTCAAAATTTATGGTTGTGTCCTTGAATCTTTCTTTTTTTTTGGTGGGGGTGGAGGGAGGTGATGTGAGGTGATTCATTCTTTCTAGCCTGCTATGTATTTGATAGTTTGCTTGTTTTCAAAATTTGTCCTCCTGCTGCTGTATTTTAAAATACTAGCAATGTCAAGTCTGGATTTAGTGGAAGAATAATGGAGTTCCTAATAAACTCTTTGGAGCTCTTATACCTCGGAAGAAAAAGACAGGAGTACTGTCCATGCTTTTTTAAAAACACCTATCTTAAAGTGTATTCTTTAGGCATTAGAGCTAAACAGGCATGAACAACAAATGACATCCACTTTAGACAGGAAATCATAACAGGCTGAGTAATTAAAACTAATTTCAATAGCACTGAAATCACAAGCGTTTCCCAGGATGGGGAAGGTCTGAATGTTTAATGCAAAGAAAAAAGGCAAACCCCCACTCTTCTTACCCTCAATATTTTTGAGAGAAACCTTTCAGGATTTTTCATCATTCAGAAAGAAACAAACAGGCAAAAAAAACCACTTGTTTTTTTCCTCACAGAGGACACTCAAAGTAGCATGTAAAAGCCAGGCCTCCAGTTTTGTAAACCAAGTTCCACTGACTTCATTGGAACCAGCAGAGAATCTGGGCAATTTTGTTTATTACCATGTATGCGCTGGGCTTAGAATACTTTATGCTTTAACATTTTATGTCCAAAAGTCAAAAGCTTCTTTAGTATAGGAGGATTTGAGGCCAGTCTTACTAAGGACAGAGGAAAAAAACAATCACCAATAAAAATTCCCTTTTGAGTCTGAGAGATTGGTTGACAACAGAGCTCCAAACTGATTAAAGAAACAGCATTTATATTTATAGTAAGAGGAAAAACATGTAGGAAAAATATGTGCCTCAGTGATAACCTGTCCCATGACTTCAAATACATTGCTCTCTAGTGACAAGGCAACTCACAGATTAGCTTGATTGTGTATGCTCTTCATTCACTTATGAACTTATTTGTTTTTTGAAATTCAAAAGTTTTTCTCTACTTTGACTACAACAGTCAGCCCCACATGGTACTTGCATTAGACAATGATCCTGTTATTAAATGGTACTGCTTTTATTCATTCCTTTTATCCTTTTATTCATCCATTTATCTTGCCTTAAATTGCTTTATCATTGTCCAAAAAGTTTGATTTCTTTCACATAAATACAGTAAAATTACAGAGAACAGTTGGTTAGATAACTAGATGGAACTGTGCCTATAATTAGGGATAATTCATAAGCAAGGACCACAATTACCACAGTTTATACTGAACAACAGGGCTGGGGGTATTTATCCTCATGTTTTGAATGGTTTAATAAGAACTACCTATATCTTAATATTAAAATAACAATTTATTGGCAGTGCATCTTACAGTAACTCTTACATGCCTGCTGAACAAAGACCCTACACTGCAAGACAGGCTACCTTTAGGGACTTATGGCCAGATCGAAAAAAATGTACTTCGGTGCCTATCCCCTATTTAGGTACCTAAATCCCACTGATTCCAATGGGAGTTAGGTGTCTAAATACCTTTGTGGATCTGGGCCTTGGGGTAGCAACTAAGGATACATTTGCTGATGTCTGTGCATCGAAAATCTTTTCTCCAGGTTCCCAGTTGACTGTGGTAGGGTGCAACCCTGGTGTTGTGAAGTAGCCGTTCTCTGATCGGTGACGGCCTGATTCACAACACCAGCTGCAGCACTGTACCATCCAGACTGACACAGCTGGGTCTCCACACCACATCTTCAACAGGATGCTCTTTCCAAGCTGCTCATGTGGTCTGTCTGTGCTCCTCACTGTTACAAGCTAGAAAACAAAGAAATAGTGTTAGATCATCTAATACAGCTAGCTCTATAATCACTGCCTGATTGTTTAAACATTATAAAATGTTAAGGAATATTTTTGTAATAAAAATGAGAAACTAATGCAATGTTCATGTTTTAGTACTTATTTTAAAACATAAATTAAATGTAGCACAACACAGGTAATTGTGTAAAGCTGGCTTGTTGTGGTTTGCGTTAGACAAGGTTTTTTCCTTCCTTTATTCTTCTCTCAGACAGAAAGCAGCAGGTAGGGGATGTAACCCAGAACAGCCTGCTTAATGTTCACAGAGGGAGTTTTCTCTCTCAGGACAAAGTCTTCCGGGGCTTATCCCTCCTAACACCATGGCTGCTTCAACAGTTACACTGCCATTAGTTTTCACTCTTTTCAAGCCAGCATCTTTTAGAGATGCATGTTTAGAACTGCATGTTTCTCCAAGGTGGGTATTATGGAATGGGTATGTTAAACATGATAATAGGGAGGCAGCCTCGAAATTAGGACTCCCTAAGTCTCTAAATGCTGGAAATCATAAGGGGCCAAGTCAGTCTTGCCAAGCTCTGCATAAATCCTCTTCCCCAAAGCATCTGCTCTGTGACACTGAGATACAGAATACTGGGCTAGATGAACCTGTGGTATGATCTAGGATAGCAGCTCTTACGTTCTTATGCTGCATAAAGCAGTTTTAGTTCCTCTTTGGGTTCACTCCTAGGATTTAGCTGTATATGTTGGTGTAGCATCAAGCAGTACAACTACTCCACAATTCTGCTCCTTCTCCAAATACTGCCCTCTACAGAGAGAGTTGCAGAGAATGAGAAAAGCAGGATGTAGTTCTTCTTCCCTTGCCTGCTCCCTGTTCTATATTTACCTGCAGAAGCTGAAGAGCACATTCAACCTTGTGTCAGAAGTGCCACACTCTTGTTAAAACCCTACTGGACATTAGGGCTAGAGACTGACATTCAAAAAGCCTGAGCCTGAATTGATTCAATCTTTGCAGGTTACTCTAACCTGCAAAGCTCGAACTGATTTGAAGGTGGATAAACATTCCCTTTTCATTCCAGAAATGGAGGCACATGCCTGTAGTGGCTCAGGATAGAAGCCAGGGTGGCACTAGAGCAGCCCTCCAATCCCATCTATAGTGCTGAGCTGAGAAGGGCATGGCCAGGCCCCTCACAGGATGCTCTTATTATTCCCCTTCCTCCCCACCCCCAGCAGCCCAGCCAGGAATGTTTATTACCCCTAACTCAGTGTTTATCAACCCATTAAGAAAACAATGCCTTTCTCCATTAACTAACGGAGCTCTTCTTAAACAGCTTTTCCAAGGAAGCTCATTAAGCTACCTGTTGATTAGCTCCAAAAAGCCTGTCTGCTTTTGTCTTCTCCCACAGCACAGACTGTAGCTAGCAAGTGGTTTGCTAGCTAATGCTGAGGTGTCTGTATAAGGCAGAGGGTGGGGGGAATAATCCCTGCTTGGTGGGGAGAAGCCAGGCAGATGCTCTGTGCCTGCAAATCTCTGCTGGAGCTCTGGCCAGGGAGCAGAAGGGAGGGGCAAGCTCTGCTGTGGAGCAGAAAGCCCCATCCAGCCCAGAGAACATGCCAGGATGTTGGGGATGTAGTTGCAGTGGATGTAGTGTTTCTGGACTTCAGGAAGGCCTTTGACACCGTCTCCCACCCCATTCTCATTAAAAAGCTAGGTGACCGTGGCACTGATGCCTACACAGTCAGACGGATTGCGAATTGGCTGAGGGGTCGCACCCAGAGAGTTGTGGTGGATGGGTCATATTCGACCTGGAGGGAAGTGGGCAGTGGAGTCCCCCAGGGCTCGGTCTTTGGACCCGCACTGTTCAATTTCATTATTAGTGACTTGGATGATGGGGTGAAAAGCACCCTGTTTAAATTCGTATGACACCAAGATTTGGGGTGAAGTGGTGGGCATGCTAGAAGGGAAGGACAGATTACAATGGGACCTAGACAGGTTACAGGGGTGGGCAAATGAAAATAGGATGGGATTCAATACTGACAAGTGCAGGGTGCTGCACTTGGGCAGTAGGAACCAGCAGCATACCTATAGGCTGGGGAACTCCCTTCTCGAAAGCACAGTGGCAGAAAGAGACCTTGGAGTCATTGTTGACTCCAGGATGGACATGGGCCGACAATGCGAGAACACGGTCAATAGGGCTAACCATACCTGGTTGTGCATCCACAGATGATTCACAAGCAGAGCCAAGGAGGTGATCCTCCCCCTCTGTGCAACACTGG